GGTAGATGTTGGTTCCTCCTCTGAAGAGAATCACAGAAATGTGGGGCTGGAAGGGACATTTAGTCCAGCCCCCTGCGCTGAGGCAGGACCAAATAAACCTAGACCATCCCAGACAGGTGTTTGTCTAACCTGTTCTTAAAAACCACCAATGATGGGGTTTCCACAACCTCCCTAGGAAGCCTATTCCAGTGTTTAACTAGCCATATAGTTAGAAAGTTTTTCCTAATATTTAACTTAAAGCTCCCTCGCTGCAGATTAAGCCCATTACTTCTTGTCCTAGCTTCAGTGGACATGGAGAACACTCGATCGCTTTCCTCTTTGTATCAGCCTTTAACATATTTGAAGACTATCTGGTTTGTCCCCTTCTGTCTCTTTTCTCAAGAGGAAACATCCCCAGCTTTTTAACCATTCCTCATAGAACAGGTTTTCTAAAGTTTTTGTCATTTTTGTGGCTCTCCTCTGGCCTATCTCAAATTTGTCCATATCTTTCTTAAGGTGTGATGTTCAGAACTGGACACAGTAGCGCAGCTGAGGCCTCACCAATGCCAGGTAGAGCAGGACAATTACCTCCCATTCTTACATACCACACTTCAGTTAATACACCCCAGAATGAGATTAGCCTTTTTTTCAGCTGCGTCACATTGTTGACTCATATGCAAGTTGTGATCTCCTGTAACCCCCAGATCCTTTCCAACAGTGCTATCACCTAGCCAGTTAGTCCCCATTTTGTAGTTGTGCATTTGACTTTTCCGTCCTAAGTGAAGTATTTTGCATTTTGTCTTTACTGAATTGCATCATGTTAATATCAGACCAATTCTCTAATTTGTCAAGGGCATTTTGAATCCTAGTCCTGTTCTCCCAAGGGCTTGTAACCCCTCCCAGCTTGGTGTCATCTGTGAATTTTATGAGCACACTCCTCACTCCACTATCCAAGTCATTAATGAAAATATTGAATAGTAACTGACCCCCTGTGAGACCCCACTAGATTTGGCCTTGCTGTTTAACAGCAAACCATTGATAACTACTTTTTACAGGCTTTCAACAAGTTGTGCACCCACCTTATAATAATTTCTTCAAGACCAGCAGTTCTCAAACTTTAGCATCCTGAGGACCCCCACTTCGATTTAAAAAATTTTCACAGACTCCCCAAGTCTACCAGTGTTCATGAAAAGTGCTATTATTAATAAAATTACCACTATCGCTGCTATTTATTTCATTATTCTTTATTATTAGACAGAGATACATAAATATGTCTGGGTAGGGAGTATTCTTTATTTAATCTAAACAGCGAGAAAACTTAATTAAAAAAACAAATTTTGAGCACCCGTCCGAACCCTCCCTGCTGTGTGCCCGGACCCCAGCACTGGCTGCCCATGGTACATGGATTCACACCCAGCGCCTCTCTTGAAGCTAGCATTTGCATTGCTGTGAGAGGAGCAGGATTGGCCCACCCTAACTGGCAGGGCTGCATGCAGAATTCCCATGTGCTTTCAGATGCACCAGCCGGTTGGCAGGTGCTGCTTCACTTTGGGTCCTCCCGTGCTTTCCTCTGCTGCTGAATTTCACGGCTCCAGGCGATCCATGAGTCATGCTGACTCTATGTTCAGCCCCCAGGACCCGCCCCCCACTCCACCGCTGTTCCACAGCGTGCAGTTGATCAGCGGGGCCAGTGGCCCCAGCCATGACTCATGGACCGCCTGGAGCCAGACATGACTCGTGGTCCCGCTAGAGTGCCCTTGCGGCCCCCCCAGGAGTCCACGGACCCCACTTTGAGAATCGCTGTTTTAGACCACACTTCCCTCATTCGCTCATGAGACTGTCTTGGGGACTATGTCAAAAGCCTTGCTTAAAATCAAGGCATATCACAACTCCAGGTTCCCCCCATCCTCTAGACCAAGTGGAGTTACGGGGAGCAAAGAACACAGCAGCCCAGGTTCCACAGCCCCTTCTTTCATTGGACTGTAGGATGATTTCTCCAAAGAGGGAGGGACAAGACAGGAAGTGAGCTGGCCCTGAGTAGCTATTTCTTTCAGAAAAGGTGAGTGAGGGTGAAAGAGGAGGAGCAGTTGTGAGGGTCTGGTAGGTGCCAGGATAGCAGGGGCAGCTGCAGCAACCTGCAAAGAGGTACGGTCCCGTACAAACCGCTCTGGTGGTGGGGGAGAGTAAGGTGCCCATCCTGCACTAAGTTATTGGGAGGGTGAGCAGGTTAACTCACTGACCGGTCTAAGCAGGGGAATGGTTCCCACTAGTGTGGGCATGTTCCTGGCTTCTATACTACCCCAGTGGAATCGGATAGCGAAAGACTCTGAGTCCTTGCCCCAACTCCCTGATGGCCGCCTGATCTCGGGGATGCCTCTTCCAGTCTCCAATGCGGCAGAGTCCTCATAGCCCCAATAAAGCTGGGTCTAGGGTTCCTGGGCGGCTTAACCCCCAGTCTCATCATGGGTCCCTCAGGCAGAGGCTAGGGTGTCCCCACACCAGGGTATTCTCACCTCACCGGCCACGTCCCTGACCCACTGATTGCTATGCTGAGTTTAAACCACATACAAATTATTAAACAGCAACTATAAACCGGTAAGAGAAAAACGGAAAAGGTAAAAGGATCCAGGGCATGGAGACACTGTCACCAATCGTCTCTGGGACTCAAGAAAATTTGCGGCCTGTTCCTTACATGTCCCAGGCCTCCCCCACCCCCACCCCAGGCCCTGGATGTGCTGCAGTGATACAGCAGGCAAGACACCTGCTCTGGCAGTGGCAGGGCCGGCTCTAGATTTTTTGCCTCCCCAAGCAAAAAAATTTGCCACCCCCAAGCTCCAGCGGGGCTGGGGCTCGCAGGTGGCGCCGGAAGCGGAGGGAGTGAGGTCAGCTTCTCCCAGCGCCTGCAGGAGCTGTTTTCCCCCTCAGCATACCGGGGCTGGGGCTTCCCCTTCCCGCCACGGCTGGCAGGGGGGCGGCGCCCTCGCCCCATCAAAGTGGCGCAGCTCCGAGAGCTCAACTGCCCCGAATAAAAAGGATGGCCGGAGCGCCGCCCCTGGAAATGTGCCGTCCCCAAGCACGTGCTTGCTTTGCTGGTGCCCAGAGCCGGTCCTGGGCGGTGGCCACACCCCCTCAGGCTCTATGTGGCAGGAGCCTTCTCCCCAGTATCAGCCCTCCCATCAGGGTCGCTTCTCCCCTCCAAGGCTGACCTTCAAGGCTGTTCTGTCTGGCAACATCTCCCTGCACTGGGCCCTCTCTGCCCAGGGTCCCCCTCGGGGTCCCCAGCTGCTCCCTGTGCTTAGCTACAGTGTTACTGCAGTGTTCACTCTCCTGGCTCTGGTCCTGCAGTGCCCCATTGCAGCTCAGCCCTGGCTCCCCCTCGGTGTGGCTGGTCACTGCTGCTCCAGCTTCTGGCGTGGGGCTGCTGCTCCCTCTTTGGCTCCGCTCCACTCGGCCCCTGGTAGCCCCAGAGCACACGGAGGACAGGCCTGCTGGGCTCTTCTTGACTCCCTCAATTGCAATAAGGAGCCAACAGCCCCCTTACACTGGCATGAAGGGGCTGCCCTGCATTATGAAGGGTGGGGGAGAGTCAAGGAGGGAGAAGAATGAATGCATTGATTGGGAAGCTTCCATCCCTGTATGCTGCCGGGGCAGAGGGGAATAAAGTGGGTAGTGCTAATTGATTTGGGGTAAAGGCGGCAATAGTTGGGGGTGCAGAGGTCACTCAGTGGGAGGCTGGGGTTCTCTGGGCCAGAGCGGCGGGAGGGAGACTAGGCAGGAGGGGCCTTGGCCCCTGGGACAAGGTTTAATCTGAGTCCTGGGGCTAATAAGCCCTGGTTGGGTGAGGACAGGATCCTGGTACGATAGAAACAGGGTAAGAAATGGAGGCAGGGAAAAGGAAACAGTCCCCTGGCGCTGGATCAAGCCCTAAGCCAGAGGCCGCATAGGTGGGGTGGGGGAACTCAGCAAGCAATGGCAGCAAAGGGGGGTAGATGTGGCAGCTGGGCTCCTGACAAATTACTTGGTCTGTTAGAGATTGTAAGCTCTTTGGGGCAGGGAGGGTCTCCCATTCTCAGTCTGTACATTGCCTAGCATGGGGGGGCATGTTCCACTCCTGGGCCCCGTTAGGCCGATTTATACAAACAAGTGAGAGGCCTGAGATGATTAATCTGAGCACAGCTTGACGGTCAGTTGGTTCTACTGGTATCTCTGGATTCTGTCGTTTGTAGGAGTGGAGAAGACGGAGGAAAAGACCCACAATTCTCCAGAATAAGTACTGGAGCGGGCTGACCAGCCCACAGGACACCGGTTGATTTGGACACTTACTCCAGATGCTCTCCACCAAGCAGAGTCCCCACCGGGAACAAAAGGGCGTCCCTGTGGGTGGAATCTGGTGCGGGGCTGAATTCCCTCCTCTTTATCTAAAACAATTCTTTCACTTTGGGCATAGGGTTGGGGCGGGGGGTGCCCTGAAAGATTGTTCCCTGGAATTCCCATTTATGTGTGTTAACGACAGGCTCAGCAGCGGGGGTAGTGCTGATCTGATCTGGGGCAAACCTTACCCTGCCTCAGATATGCCTGTTCTGTGACTGGATTTCAGCCTCAAATCAGCCTGGAGCTTCTCCATAGAATTACACTGAACCAAACGCACCGTTTCAGCCCGTAGCACCCTTTCATGGTAATGATATCTTTTCAAAATCTAAATTCAGTAAGGGCTGGATCAAAACTCATTGAGATCAATAGAAGGGTACTTGGTGACTTCAGAGGGTTTCAGATCAGTCCCTACTACTTCATGAAAAGTGAAGGGTTACATTCAAAGCACCCTTACCCAGTCCTGGTCTAGGGGCGGGTGCAATTGGGTTGTTTTTTATTTTTTGGGGTTTTTTTGGAAGAGCTCATTGGGGTTTCCATAAGTGTATTTCCTTTCCTAAAATCTGCTTTCTTAATACTCTTCGCTAGCCTCGCTTTTCATTTCCTTATGGCTGTTCCACTTACTAGCCTTTTTTTTTTTTTTTTTTTTAAAGGAGCCAGGGGGCACAGATCCTGTCAGATATAAATGTAATTCAAAAGCAAAAGCCTATCCATTGAAATTCATCCAAGCAGACTGCTTACCACTAGAAATCTGAGACGTCGGTATGACAACGCAGCTGCAATTCATTTAAGATCAGACAGTAAGTACAATTCAGCTCGCTTTGCTCTTGGACTTAGACAGTGGTCTGACTGTTATTGGAGGGCCACTCTTTAGCCTGCCCTTCAGAGGCCATGTCCCTGAGAGCAAATTGACCCTTGCTTATCCATCCAGCACATAGTCTAATCAATGCTGCATCCATGACAAAATGACCAGGATCGGCTGATATCTTAACCCACATTAAACATGCTGAAAATATGAATGGCTGGTTAGTGTGACACAGCCAGGAAAAGCACTGTGGGTGTTGCAGTCATGTTAAGGGCCAACGCTCAGGAAGGAAGTCAGCTGGTGATTAGCCCCACTTCTCTGTGGAAGGGGGCATCTTTCTCCCTTCCCCGGGTGGGTGGGTGGGTGTGTAGTCCAAGTTTCAAGCCTTCTATGGATGCAGAGTGTGTGCAGGGGAGGGAATGCTGCTGATTTAATCTGTGATAGCACCATGATTAAAAGCCAATGGCCTGAAGAGGCCCACATGTCCAGCAGCAGATCGGACTAGACAATCACTTTAGAACCTGCCTGATTCTTCAGCAGAGCGCATTGCGGAGGTGGGGGAGGGGCTTCTGTGAAAACTGGGGGGCAACAACATGCTATAAAATGAAAATCAGTGACTAAGAAGCAGCAGCCTTTGTTCTAGAGAAGCCTGCCTTCAATCACTGTGATAACAATCCTGCTGCCCTGCAGGTGGGCACAGTGCCAGCTGGATCCGGTGGCAGATATTTATGGGAAAGAGAGAGCCGACTTAGGTCCTGAAACTGCCAAGTCCAGATTAATGAATCACTAAATGTGCTACTGAAATGCAGCCACTTCTGGGGTTAAGCACTGCAGCTGTCTGAACAGCTCACAGCAGCACCACAGTAGATGTTAGGATAGGAAGTAAAAATAAATATTGCACCAGACTGAAAAGACAGGATATTTTGATTTCAGATTGGCAGGATGTAAATATCCAAATGCAAATTTGGCCAGTAGAGTGTTATAAATGCTCCCTCTGGTCCAAACCTTCCCCCAGGATTTTTGATGCCCATGGTCTCCAGTTTCACGTGCTGTCCATAAACCCCACCTCCAAGAGCAACAGCAGGCCCTATAGCCTCACAGGGGCATTGGGTCTGTTAACTACTAAAGGAGTTGGAAACCCTAATTAAGTCCTGTCAGGGTTCCCTCCCCACACTGAACTCGAGGGTAAAGATGTGGGGAACTGCATGAAAGACCCCCTAAAAGATTATTTTTACCAGCTTAGGTTAAACACTTTCCCAAGGCACAAACTTTGCCTTATTCTTGAACAGTATGCTGCCACCACCAAGTGATTTAGACAAAGAATAGGGAAAGGACCACTTGGAGTTCCTATTTCCCCAAAATATCCCCCCAAGCCCTTACACCCCTTTTCCTGGGGAGGCTTGAGAATAAACAAAATGAGCACAAACCAGCCTTGGATTTTTAAGACCCAAAAAACCCAATCAGATTCTTAAAAATCAGAACTTTATTAGAAGAACAAAAAAAGATACAACAACTCTGTAAGATCAGAATGGAAGATAATCTTACAGGCAGTCAGATTCAAAACATAGAGAATCCCTCTAGGCAGAACCTTAAGTTACAAAAAGACACAAAAACAAGAATACACATTTCCTCCAGCACAGCGAATTTCACAAGCGAAAACAAAGAAAACCTAACTCATTTTCTAGCTAAATTACTTACTAACTTTATAGGGGTTGGAGGGCTTGCATCCTTGATCTGTTCCCGGCAAAGGTATCACACAGACAGACAAAAGCCTTTCCCCCCTGCTCCAGATTTGAAAGTATCTTGTCCCCTCATTGGTCATTTTGGGTCAGGTGCCAGCCAAGTTACCTGAGCTTCCTTAGTCTTTTAGAGGTAAAAGGACTTTTTCTCTGGCCAGGAGGGATTTCATAGCACTGTATACAGAAGGGTGGTTACCCTTCCCTTAATATTTATGACAAGTCCAGCTGCCCACACTGCAAGCCTGTCTCCCTCTCGCATCTATCATCGGTTAATAATTTATTCCGAAAAGACCAAAGAGGCAGGATTAGGTGCAAAACAAAGAACAATTTATTAAAGGATCCCCAACAGCTCTACCCAATAAGCAAACAGGAAAACCACTCGGGTGTTAACAATACAAACAGGCTTGAAGCAAAGGTCCCAAAACCATACAACACCAGGGGTGGGTAAGACAAGTTAAAAGTGTTAACACATCACCATTCTTGTTCTTTACACCACACTCTGGACACACTGGAGCTAAGGACACCATCAGGACCACAGGACATCAAGGGACAGGAGCCAGGAGCACGAACAGCAGGATACTCAGGACAGGATCAGGTAAACCATCTTCTATCTTCTTCCTTCTCAGCTTGCCATGGCAACTCAGCAGGGAATAGATCTTAGCACTGGGCTGCCTCTATGGTGGACAGCAGCCACCACAGGGTGCTGTAACCTTTTATCGCTTTTAGTTGCCGGGCAGGATTCGCCAAGCCACCTGACCCTTTCCCGCCAAAATGTACAAAAAGGCGCCAATAGTTCCCACCAAAGTGCTGTTGCTAGGCAGATTATAGACAAAAGGGGGAAGAAGAAGGGGGACTACAATATGGAGGGTGAAGTACAACTCAAGGAAACCAAGATGGCGAACTGAAGTTTCCTTACAATTCAGTCCAGTGACAAGAGCACCCCATTCTGAATCACTACTCCTACATCCTGCAGCACCTTGGCATCCCTTAGGGGTCTCCTAGCCAAGTGCTGCATAGGTCCCACTTGTATTTGTCTCTGTGACACCCAATCAGTGTGAGTGCCATGCTATTGTAGTGGCAATCACAGCCCCATCCCGACAATGGTTCCTGGGTCAACACTCCCCAGGGCAAGGTTGCCCTATAACTTTTTTTCCCCCAGAATGGCTTTCTGATGCTGACCCTTGGATTCTGCTAGAGCCAGTTATACCCTTAAAATAGCTGTTTTGCACTGGCAGCAGCTTCGCTGTCCCTCAGCAGTTAGGCACCTTTTGCCTTTGTTATTGCTGTGGAAATGGCACCTCAGAACTAAACGCAGGACCACTGAGAAGGTCAAAAGACCACAGACAGGCACCCCGCTCCCTCCCCCTTAACACAACACTGTGTCTGGCTTGGGTCTTTCCATAGCACCTCAATGCCAGCTCAGCACTCCCACTGATTATTGTAATCACAGGAAAACAGCTGCTCTATTTCACAGGCCAGCACCATGTCCCATCCCAGCACATTCCAGCCCCGCAGTCATTCCTCAGTCAGTCCTCCCTGGAAAACAGGTGGGGCTTGCAATGTGTCCTGATGCTCCGTGTCAAGGTTCCTCCCCCACTCTGAACTCTAGGGTACAGATGTGGGGACCTGCATGAAAACCTCCTAAGCTTACTTTTACCAGCTTAGGTTAAAATTTCCCCAAGGTACAAATTAATTTTATCCTTTGTCCTTGGAATATCCACTGCCACCACCAAACTCTAACTGGGTTTACTGGGAAACGTAGTTTGGACACATCTTTCCCCCAAAAATCCTCCCAATCCTTGCACCCCACTTCCTGGGAAAGGTTTGGTAAAAATCCTCACCAATTTGCATAGGTGACTACAGACCCAAACCCTTGGATCTGAGAACAATGAAAAAGCATTCAGTTTTCTTACAAGAAGACTTTTAATAGAAATAGAAGTAAATAGAAGTAAAGGAATCACCCCTGTAAAATCAGGATGGTAGATACCTTACAGGGTAATTAGATTCAAAACATAGAGAATCCCTCTAGGCAAAACCTTAAGTTACAAAAAAGACACACAGACAGAAATAGTTATTCTATTCAGCACAATTCTTTTCTCAGCCATTTAAAGAAATCATAATCTAACACATACCTAGCTAGATTACTTACTAAAGTTCTAAGACTCCATTCCTGGTCTATCCCCGGCAAAAGCAGCAACAGACAGACCCTTTGTTTCTCTCCCTCCTCCCAGCTTTTGAAAGTATCTTGTCTCCTCACTGGTCATTTTGGTCAGGTGCCAGCGAGGTTACCTTTAGCTTCTTAACCCTTTACAGGTGAGAGGATTTTTCCTCTGGCCAGGAGGGATTTTAAAGGGGTTTACCCTTCCCTTTATATTTATGACACTCCGCTAGGGCTAGATTTGGCTTATAGCCTTGGCTAGGGGGCAGCGCACTGGGGCACTATCCCTGGAGCAGTGCAGAGAAGGAATCATGCCTTAAAGAAGCACAAATCTTGCCCTCCCCATTCCTTGCTTTTAGGAAGTAGAAATTCGCTGCTAGTTCCTATCAGCAGCCAAGGATTCCTCTCCCTGTGCCAGCTCAGCAAATTGTAGGGGCAGAGGCAGAACCAAGAACCCACCCACTACCTGCTCAGGGCAAGGCGGAGGAGTGGATGCACCATGCCCACTTACCCCTGCTGCCCAGACCCAAGATTCAAGAGGCCAAGCAGAGGGTAAGGGGGAGTCTTGCTCCCTCTTTAGGGTCTGTCCCCACTGGAGCTGGAAGCTGTAAATTCCAGCTTCAGGAGACATACCAGTGCAGCTGTGATTAAGCAAGTGCACTAGAAGTGTAGTCATGGAGATACAAGCAGTGGGAGGGGCTAGCTGCCCCAAGTATGTATCTCTGGTCTAGGACGGGATTGTAAGTGGGACAGGTAGCCCCTTGCATTGCCAGGGCTGCACCTCTATTTTTGGCACACTAACTCAATCAGAGCTAGTATGGGTATGTCTGCTCCAGCTGGAATGTGCACCTTCCAGCTCTGGTGCAGACAGACCCTTACACTTGGTGCACAAAAAGAAAAGGAGTACTTGTGGCACCTTAGAGACTAACAAATTTATTTGAGCATAAGTCTCTAAGGTGCCACAAGTACTCCTTTTCTTTTTGCGGATATAGATTAACATGGCTGCTACTCTGAAACTTGGTGCACTGTGCATCCAAGAGACAATTGAGCCCATAGGGCCAGATTGTGCTAACCTTTCTCACACTGAATAGTGCCTTACTCCACTCATAAACTCCTAGGAATCCAGTTATTGGGTATGAGTAAGGGTGGCACAATGTGGGCCAAAGTAAGGGATTCTACAAGGACAACATAGGCAGTTTAACATCCACTTTGCAATGGGGTCCTGGTCCCTGACTGGGGCTCCCAGATGCCCTGGGAATACAAATATGTAATAAGAGCAGTATCTATAGAATCTATTCCTGAATGCCTCCTTGAAGTTAAACAGATCGATTCAATCACTGGGGCATGTTCAATTTTTGTCACTGTAGGCGCTGGAATTAATTTTGTAAGTACCAATTCCAACAGCTACAGAGATGATCAATGGCTGTCTCAGTTTCGCTTCTTCCTCAACCTTTGCCTCATCAAAGGCACTTGCTTGGTATGTCTTTCCCCAGAGACCAGCACTTTCCTGCTAAGAGGCAACAGACCAAATTCTCAGCTGACGGAGATTGCTGTAGCTACATTGAAGCCAAGGGAGCTATGTCAGTTTTCCCCAGCTGAAGGCCTGGCCCACAGATGTGTAATTTCATGGCTAAGTGGCGAGCTCGGGTAATAATTGCATAAGTAACTGTAGCTGGAACAATGTTTTTATTTCCTGTAATAAGCAGAGAAATGGGAAAATGAGAATGCACACAGATTAATGGGTCTCTGGACAGTGAGAGAGCATTCACATATTTCAGCCAGGGCTGGGGAATCTACGCACCTCTTCATTGGCTTTATTAGAGGTGACACGTAACATCTGGTTAAGGTCTCACTTCAGTCAGTATCTGAAGTCTCTTCACGATCAGAAACAGCTTTCCACTGGACATTTGGGGGAAGAACCCATCTTCAAGACTTATACCACATCCCACAGGAGACTGCTCCACAATCCAACAGATCTTTGCTGTCACTAAGTTCTCCCTGGTAGTCATTTACATTTTCCCTTTCTTAATTTCAACCCATTACTCATAATGAACCCCACCCTAAATTAGCCTAAATAATCTCTCCTTCTCTCATAGTCATTACTTAGACAACCTACACAAAATTAACACTTATAAAGCCAAATCTGCCTTACTCATGCAAATCATCGATCAAAAGTAATGAGTGTATTTGTAACCCTTTTGCCAGGTGGAGCCAGAAACAACCAGGGCCAGATTCAATATTTAGGGGTTCCTTTTCAACAATACAACACAGAATTGGCTCAAGCCCCCACCCAGTAACCTGGGAAAATTACACACCAGCCCTGAACCTGTTATTATGCAAGGCACTGAATTTAGCCGTATGGAGTGGAAGTCTATCAACTTCATGTAAAAACTCGTACAGATACAGACAGACATCATCTTCTTTTCCAAATGCAAACACATGGACATCATACCAAAAGGAATGAAGGTAAAAAATCCATTACATCTACATACCACACAGACTATGCTGACAGCTTGTGCCACACGCTCTCAAAGAAACTGTGGAACCACCTGATCAACATCCTCTTCAGCAAACAGGGAAAGATTAAGAATGAGCTCTCAAAACTGGCTACTCTCATAAAAAACCAGCCTTCCACACAAACTTCCTCATGGCCGGACTTTACAAAAACTAGACAAGCCATTTACGCCACTAGCCGTCACCTTCAGCCCCCAACTAAAACCTCTCCAATGCATCATCAAGGATCTACAACCTATCCTGAAGGATGACCCATTGCTCTCACAAATCTTGAGAGACAGGCCAGTCCTTGCCTACAGACAGCCCCCCCAACCTGAAGCAAATACTCACCAGCAACCACACACCACACAACAGAACCACTAACTCAGGAACCTATCCTTGCAACAAAGCCCGTTGCCAACTGTGTCCACATATCTATTCAGGGGACACCATCATAGGGCCTAATCACATCAGCCACACTATCAGAGGCTCGTTCACCTGCACATCTACCAATGTGATATATGCCATCATGTGCCAGCAATGCCCCTCTGCCATGTACATTGGTCAAACTGGACAGTCTCTACGTAAAAGAATAAATGGACACAAATCAGATGTCAAGAATTATAACATTCATAAACCAGTCGGAGAACACTTCAATCTCTCTGGTCACTCGATTTCTGACCTAAAAGTGGCAATTCTTGTTTATTGTTTATTCTTATTGTTTATTCCCCCCCCCCCCCGTTCCTCAGACGTTCTTGTTAACTGCTGGAAATGGCCCACCTTGATTATCACTACAAAAGATTTTCTCCCCCCCGCCCCACTCTCCTGCTGGTAATAGCTCATCTTAAGTGATCACTCTCCTTACAGTGTGCATGATAAACACCCATTTTTTTCATGTTCTGTGTGTATATAAATCTCCTCACTGTATTTTCCACTGAATGCATCCGATGAAGTGAGCTGTAGCTCACGAAAGCTTATGCTCAAATAAATTGGTTAGTCTCTAAGGTGCCACAAGTACTCCTTTTCTTTTTGCGAATACAGACTAACAGGGCTGCTACTCTGAAAGAACTGACAAGAACATCTGAGGAATGGGGCGGAGTCTGTTTTTGAGACTGGGACTGGATGGATCATTACACAAAGTTAAACTATTTCCCCATGTTTATTTCCCCCCCACACACACACACCCCACTGTTCCTCAGAGGTTCTTGTCAACTGCTGGAAATGGCCCACCTTGATTATCACTACAAAAGGTCCCCTCCACCCTTATTATCTTCTGCTGATAATAGCTCACCTTACCTGATCACTCTCCTTACAGTGTGTATGGTAACACCCATTGTTTCATGTTCTTTGTGTATATAAATCTCCCCACTGTATTTTCCACTGAATGCATCCGATGAAGTGAGCTGTAGCTCACGAAAGCTCATGCTCAAATAAATTGGTTAGTCTCTAAGGTGCCACAAGTCCTCCTTTTCTTTTTGCGAATACAGACTAACACAGCTGCTACTCTGAAACATGTAAATACAGTTTGCTCCTGAAGTCTCTCCCCTTCCCAACTAGCTGGCAGGGGAGAGTTCATTCAGATCCTGCCTACACATTTGCTGGAGACGGGCAAATAGCGTTTGGCCGTTAATCTTGCCACTTAACTCATTTTTATTGCTCTTTTCTGAACTCCCTCCTTTTTGTCAATATCTTAATTGTAAAGAGGTGGCCAGGTCTGAATGCATTATTTCAGATGTGGTAGCATCATCACCAGTTTAAGAGACTCCAACCTCCCTGCTCCATGACATGAAATTTCTCTGATACAAACATCAAAATTCCATTGGTCTTTCTTATCACCACATTCCATTGTAAGCCCATGTCTAAATTGCTGCCCAGTAGCATTCCTAGGTAACTTGTCAATATTGCTGCTTCTCAGGTTTCTTTCTCCCTCCCATTGAATGTCTGTGGTTTACAATATTTTACCGCCAAATCTGTTAGCTTGAGCAGGAAACAGTTCTCCATCTGAAGAGTTTACAATCCAAAGAAGAAACCTAGTTCTTGTATAGCCGGTTTTCTCAGTAGATCTAAAAACACTTTTATAAAGGAGATTATCGCCATTTTACAGACAGGGGATGGGAAAGCACAGGGTACAGTAATTGGGTTTAAAGAGTTTGTGTGCCCTAGAGGCATTCACTGTGTTCTGTGTTTCAGAAGCTGGCTAGACCAGGAGTGTGAATATGAACAAGGCTTAGCATGCTGCATCTGCTTAATGATTATGGTTATGTGATCCCCACTGGACTGTGTGGTATCTTCAAACTATTTTTGTTGTGTAAAGGGCAAAAGACACAACAGCAGGATAGACCAATGATGGAAGAGAGGATGTTTTATCATCCCCATTTACACATGGGGACCTGAGGCAGAGAGACCATAAGCCCTGATTTTCAGAGATACTGAGTGCCCACAACTCCAGCTGGTGTGAATGGGGCTGGCAGGTGCCTAGCACTCTGAAAATCAAGTCCCAAGTGATTTGCCCAGGGTTACAGGGAAATTTTTGGAAGAACCTGGTATTGAATCCACCCCGATCTTCTGTGTCCCAGTCCAGTGTCTTAAACACCAGATCATAAATGTAAATTGCAGGACAGAAGTTATTGTATTCTGTGACAGTGTGATGCTAAAGGGTCCTTATGTAAAAGTCACATAGCAGCACCGTTTTAAATAGTTCTGCAAATTCTACAATAAAGCTACAAACAGGTGTTTTCGTGTAACAAATTATTTGGCCACGAGAGGGTGCTACATTTCTATTCTTAATAGTTTGCCTCCTACCCTCTCAGGTACATGCCACTGTCCCATGCCAGCACAGAATTATAGGAATGTAGAGCTAGAAGGAAGCTAGAGAGGCCATTTAGTCCAGCCTCCCTCTGTCTCTGAGGCAGGACCAAGTAAACGTAAACCATCCCTGATAGATGTTCTTAAAAATAGTGATGGGGATCCCACAACCTGCCTAGGTAACCTTGTCCAGTGCTGAATTATCCTTCAAGTTGGAGAGTTTTCCCTAATACCTAACCTAAATGTCCCTTGCTGCCGATTAAGCTGATTACGTCTTGTCCTACCCCCAGTGGACATGGAGCATGCAGCCAACCTGCATCACCATGCTGCAGGAGCCAGGTGACCACACAATGGACGGGGTAGGTATGCTGTGGGAGTGGGCCAGGAGAAGTCCTGTAGAATTTAAAAGAGAGAAAGGTTCTATAGGAATTACCCTAAAATGTACAGAATGCAATAGACCTTCCTACAGGTGCTTTGAATTAAGCGAGAATTCTCTCCTCATTCTAGAATTTCACATGCTGGTTTAAAAATCCCAAGATGGTTCCCATCCTCCATTTTATTCTATTGGCCTTTCCCTGGAGTGCTGACTCAACCACTGAAAGCCACGGGAGTCATTCCTCCTTCCAGCCGGATCTTATACGGACTCAGAGTGTGTATCTGGCCCCAGATTCATACTAAATGCCATGCTTCCAGTGCTAACGCTGTCAGAGCCCAGTGTGAATGAACGAGAGGAGGCATCAGAGACCCCTGCACTGGGCTGTAAGTTTGGTTCTAATTGGTTGTTGGCTTATTATTAATTAATTGCATAATGCCAGCAGTGCATGGAGCGCTGTTCAAACTCTCAGCATTATTTCCTTCCCATTAGCAACCTCCTGGCCTTGTTCAGCAAGGACATTCCCAAATTCATTCCAATCGTGACTCAAGCCTTTTTTGTATCATACAGTTGCATTATCTCCTTGTGTGGAAGGCAACATGGTCTTTTGTTTTAGCAGAGCTGTAAAATAGCCATAATATTGTCCTGCCTATGTTAAGACTTTAGAGATTCTTGGATAAATGGTGCCCTGTAAATGCAAACTGTTACATTATACTATAATTTAATTAACTCACCATTTGTCTGTCAAAGTCCTTGCACGTGATTATGTCTCATGAGTCAGAGTTTAGCATATCTTCTGTAGTGGGAAGGATTCTGTGTCTACCATAATGGGGTCCTGTTCCTTGATGGGGCGCCTAGCTACTACCACCATATAAATATGTAATAACATCACAGTTATGGACCTAAACTGTAACTCAGGTGACCCTTCTACCTCCAAGTTCAGTGTGCTGTTAAGTAAGTCACCTAGAGCTAGGTTGTGATTTGGAATACACAGCTGTTCAGGGGAGTAAGAATTCCATGGGTCCCAGCGGGCAGGAATCTGCAGGCGTTGTGTCGTCACTAACTCCTTCTGCCCCTAGAGAAAGTGGGCAGAGCCTTGCCATGGGTGTGCACGTATTTTAATGGGTGGCTGTAACTCACAACCCCCTGGGGTAAGAGGGAAGCAGGAAAGTAACTGTCCCTCAGAGCACTCTCTGTTACAACAGGGATGGGCAGCGTTGTAAAACCCTTAAAGGGATGCTTCCACCAACCCTTGCTCAGGGCTGGGTCTAAGGACACAAGCCAGGCCTTCCTTTCGCTCTCTCAATTCCCCTTTGGTAGACTGGGGATGAAAAGTAGAGCTGGTCGACATTTTGAATGAAAAATTTTTTTCCTGTCAAAATTTTGTGCAGAAAAATACCCACTGCTGTTGGAAACCAGGTTTTTGGCAAAAGAGGGATTGTGATGAAAAACATTGCAGGAAACATGTTCAAAACTGGGCCACATTTGAGCCTTTCAAAATGGAAACAACCTTGACCTTTCTCATGACGTTTTAAAAATTTCAACCAGCTCTAACACTGACCTCTCTCCTGGGGGTGCTGTGAGGTGAATCCACTCATGTTTGTGAGGTTCTCAGGTACAACAGAGATAGGGGTCAGATCCATAGCCCTGCCACACACCCCATTGAATCACACTATGCTCCGGTGACCCAAGTATTCTCTGGATGGATAATACTATCGTGACAATCTGGGAAATAGTTATAGGATGTTTTTATGACTATGCTGCAGGCAGACAAAGGTGTGTTTGGCTCCAGTGGGTTACTTGCTACGGAGATAGCTCCAAAAGGAGTTGTTATTGGAACCAAGCAGAAAAGGTAAAACCGTGACCCAGATAACAGTACTGGAGGAACTAATGGAAAAGTGTTTACTATAGAATACCCCCTCCCTGTCTGCACGTAGGCTAGAATGGTTCACTCCTCCCCAGGCTAAAGCCTTGGATCAAAGAGAATCTTAAATCTAACAATGCTGGCCTCAAGAAGGGGGCTGCTGTCACATGGAAGCTGACACCCAGACTGATGGATTCAGAGCTCGAGGGAGTACGCTGCAACTCGGACTGGCTAACTGTCCCAACTCTGAGAGGCAAATAAACTGGACCTTCCTGAGCTAGCGGTAGAAAGTAGAGCAGTCGATTAATTGCAGTCAACTCACACGATTAACTCAAAAACATTAATCACAATTAATGCCAACTGAAATTTATTAAATGTTTCTGGATGTTTTTCTACATTTTCAAATATATTGATTTCAGTTACAATACAGAATATCAAGTGTGCAGTGATCACTTTATATTACTATCTTTATTACAAGTATTTGCACTGTAAAAATGATAAACAAAAGAAACAGTATTTCAATTCACCTCTTACAAGTACAGGTTGAACCTCTTTAGTCCAGCACCCTCGGGACCTGACGGGTGCCGAACCAGAGAATATGCCAAACCACAGGAAGTCAATGCAGAGTGCTAACGGGTCTCCACAGATGCAGGAAAGTAGGAGTTCAGGGGGTGCTGAAGCACCCCCAGACT